ATGTGATTTCTCAGCAGGAGCAAGCTTTGGATTTGAAAAATAATTTAAGTCAGCTATTTAAAGTTAATTCATCCCATCATTTAGTCAGTGCTGAGCACATTTGGTAGTGTGTTTTTGAGTGGGTCTGTGAAATGTGATGGGTTTTTGGGAGAACGGATGAGTGACTGGGCTCATAATTTTGAAATTAATGACCTGACTGTTGAACACCACAGCCCCGTGTTTCATCTGGGAAGAATGTGATTGCTAACTGCTTCATTTTTCAGCATAGCAATAATCACAAATACACTGCCAATGCAGTAAAATGCAGCAAATGCACTTGGATAGAAAAACACACAATAGAACGCAATCACTCTGGGATTGGCCTCCCTAAATCTTAGATCTCAACATTATTCAAGTAGTGTGAGATCACCTTGATAGAGAGGACAACAAAATGCAGCCAACTTGCAAAGAAGAGCTTTGAATGTCCTCATATTTGGACATACTAAGTACTGACATTCAAGTTTTTTAGAGTTAGATTTGCCTATGATTTTACCATCACAAATCCATTGAAAAGCTGTGAAGAAACACAAAAAAAAAAAATTCTATAAACAAACATAAAAAGATACATTGAAGTTTCAACTGCTTTAACTGAATAAATATGGGAGAAGGTACTTTTAATCCCATGTAATCTGTGCTATCTCTAGCTACTCATGTCTGTGCTTGTCCTGCTAGAATTGTTAGAACGTGCAGTGGTCAATATTGTTAATCACACTATTTTCTATCCTATATAGCTAATATACTCAAATTAGTTGATGTAAATGGGAGTCTCCTTCACACAAAAAGGTTAATTATGGTTCCACATGGGATAAAGTGGCAGGAGTGAGCAGCAGTACAACTGAGCAGTAGCAGATTTAAAGTGGCAGTTGGCACAGTATTGCACGGAGTAAGGGTTTTTATTTTTATTTAAATACTAATAACAATGAAGTGACCAGTGCAGAGTGTTGAGAAACTGTAGGACAGATTCTGAGTGCATCCTGTGGAGTGTGTGTGTTTAAGTGTTGTGGTTGAGGTGTCGAATGGCTTGATGGTAAAAGCTGTTTTTGAGTCTTGTAGTCCGTATAAGACAGATGTCCTGAGTGGAAGGAAGCCTCATGCCTGCGATGTGCCTTCGCCACCCTCTGTAGTGATTTTCGGCTGCTGGCAGAGGAGCTTCCATACCAAACTGTAATGCAGCTCGTCAGCAAGCTCTCAACATACAGACCTGGATGACCTCTGATTTCCTACTTTTAAATTCAGATAAAATTGAGGTCATTGTACTTAGGACTAAAAATCTTAGAAATATGGCATCTAACTAGATACTTACTCTGGATGGCATTAGCTTGGCCTCCAGTAACACTGTGAGGAAACTTGGGGGGTCATTTTCGATTAGCACAGGGGTCGGCAACCTGCGGCTCCGGAGCTGCATGCAGCTCTTTAGTCTTTATACTGCGGCTCCGCAGTTATTTACTGGATTGATATCGTTCATTAATTAGCTTTTATTTTGACTTTTACTTTGTGTACAGAATTATCAACACCAATACCTACACCAGCCAACACACCAGTTTGTGAGTAATTCATGAGATTTAGTCCAGCTTGACAGGTTTGGGGCAACAGTGACTTGTTTGTTTCAGTTAACTCATAGCTGTTAAACAAAGCCTAGAAGTTAATATAAAGTAAGTTAGGGAGTAACAAATGTTATACAGGAGCGGTGAAATTTTAGGGGCTTTTATGTCATCTAGCTAGGAAGCTAACCTACAGTGTGAATAATGACCAGACAAGTTCCTGGATTAAATCTTTTGTGGTATTAAATTTACCTTGTATATCTACCATTGTGTTTTATCTAAATGTAAGATCCACTGATTTTTGTCAAATGCAGCTGCTTGCAGCAATGTTAGCTGTGTAAAGCAGAGACTCATGGACAGATTACAACACACTGTACGACTGGTTTGCCTGTCACCAAATTATAAATGGATTTAGGCAAAATTGCTTTTCATGTTTTGAGTGATCTCTGATTAAACAGACAGAAGACAATTCTGACCTATAACGTGGAATTTTTGTATTTCTAGATGTTGCAGGTCTGAAAATGAAGCTTTCCTCTTTAGTGGGCTTGTCTCAGATTGATAAAGACACCCTCCTAAATCAGGTTAGTCTGTTCTTATCTCATCTGAAATCTTAGTACTTGGGGAAACTGAAAAAAATCGTAATCCCAGACTGATATATAGATTAAAAAATGCTAAATTTGCTTAAAGTCTTGCCTCAATAAATGTTTTTCTTAAATCTATTAAACGTTTCTCTGAGTGTTTTCTTGTGCTCTGCTCTAAACACTAAAGATCCTAGTCTAACTCATTGGCATTCCCAGTGTGCCTGATAGTAACGTTTTGTCCACATAATGAGGCATAAAAGGAGCCAGTGGACCTGAGTGTAGTTTACACTAAGCAGAGAAAGTGACTAACTCGGTCTTCCTTTTTTTAATCCATAGATTAAATCAGCACTGGTGAAAAATGGACTCCCACAGGACGTCATTCTACAGCTGAGAAGCAGTGACCCGCAGATTGGTGCAGCTGCAGCGCCCTCTAGTGGTGCAGCATAAACAGTGACTAGTGTGTGATGTCTGCTGAGGCTTAATAATATACTTCTGATATGATTTCTCAGTATTAGCAAGTTTTGAAAAAAATCATTGATGATGCCAGATGTTGGTTGTTGTACTGACAGAGGTGTTTCGTTTAGAGTTAGCATTATTGTATTAGCTAATGTAAGTATTGTCCATGAATGTAATTTACTATGATGTGGCTACAAAAAGTGTAAATAATATATTTGTGGAGTAGCAGTCACTGTCCTTTATCTCTCCGGGGTATTCATGTGTATCTAGGAACTTTAATGCTTCTTAAACGTTCTGGGAGGGACCAAGGAGAAAGTTTGGTGCTTGGATATTTTTTTTTAGCTGTTATTGGGGATTTTTAACATTAAATGGTTTTAATTCAAATATAGGGTTCGTGTATACCTTGGCTGATTGTTTTAATCATGAAATATGATATAAAATGGTTTCATGGCTTAATTGCTGTTTCAGAAAGTGTGAAAACACCCCTGGTAGGTTATGAGCAAAGTGTGGCTCATAAGTTGAAAGTTATCACACACAAATGGAGACCATGTGCAAAAGCGGTGAACCTACTCAGGAGTGACTGAGTAGGTTCAGTTATGGATGAAATATTCATGTTTCAAAGCTTAGCGTCAGACTTGTTTTCTGTGATCACAGCTCCGAAAAAAAATGCCAATTGCCAAAACAATGTGCTGCCACAAGATGTCACTACTGAGAGGCAGCATGTCTCACACCGGTGCACCTGCAGCGCCCACTTGTGAGACAGCAAAAGCAAAAACTTAAAAAGACTCATGTTTCATGTCTGATAATGTTCAGAATATTTAGAAATTCCTGCCTTTGTTGTTGTTACCGCTGTTGGATGTACATGTAATGCTAAAATAAAGTAAAACCACACAAACCACCGTGAAAAACCAAAAGGAGCCAAAGTAGTTTAAAAGACATCAGTTTAATTCCAGGTGAACGATCCAGAGCAGCATATCAAAAGAAATGATACACAGGTCACGGTTTCAAGGTTGTAACATGACATAAATAAAACATCAGTGAGCTGTAAACTTGTTCATCATGAAGCCGCATGATATTAAACTCTGTTTTTTGGGCTCTGAAACTTTTTTTTTTTTTTAAGCCAACCAACAACCCAATCTGAAAACACATCTTCCCAGATCTCAAAATACTGTTTTTCAAAGTTTTTTGGATTTGGTTCAAATAAACAAAAAATTACAAAAAAATATCTTCTGATTTAGCGCTTGTGTTTGACTTGCGGCCAGCTATTAATTTCAGGCCCTCTTTGTGTGTGCGCACATTCCTTCTCGCTGTCTAGTAAAACAGCACCGAGATGCGCCTGTTTTGTTTTAGCTAGCAACATCTATGCTGGATTTTAACAGAATCAGTTATGAGGAGGCAACTGCCCCCGACATGGATCAACAAAAACAAGCGCTGATGATACAAACACACACCTGGACAAAAACATTTACAGTTTAAAATGTTTTTTTGTGGGGGGGGTTTTTAGGTGTTGGACAAATTTGAGGTACAGCTGGTTTCGTTTGTGAGTGAATATATTAGACTCATTGTTCAGCCCTGAATAAACCCTCAAATAGACCAAAAATAATTTTAAGGAGAGAATAATAAAAACATCAAACCTTCTGTACCTCTGGACTTCTCTGACGTTCACAAGATCAAAAACATTTCAAACCTTGTTTTGCTTCAAACTGATCAAAAACAAAAAAAAGACTGCAGGAACTGTCCCTTCATGAGAATTGCACATCATTGATAGAAAATATGAACTTTCCTATTTACAGCTAGCAGAGACCCGACCTGGGCGGACTGAGTGTTTCTGTCTGTCATGAGAGAAGTTACGAGAAACTTTCAGGAAACCTTTCCAACATCCTCTGCAGTCACTATAAAAGTTCAAAATCCCACAGAAATAAGGCAGCGTACAGCTCGAAGAACGTGCTTTCACACTGTGAACAACATGCAGCTAAACTTAAGATCCAATGTGCAACATAATTCTAAATAAATTAGAATGAGACGAACAGTAAAAGCCTCATTTACACCTATGATTTTTCTCTTTAAAAGGTCCAAAAGCCTTGGAGAACTGTCCCAAGCATTTGTAGCCTTTACATGGTCCACATGTTGCATTTACCTGGCAGTAAGGCCCGCCTCACAGCTGAGCAACACGAGATTCTACTTTCTTTGACAGTTTGGAGGAAAATGATGAACTTAAAGGCAAAATTTAAACTAACATCTGAAAGTTAGAAAATACTGAATCTTTAATAGTATCAATGTTCCAGAAGCCTTGTATTTTTCCTCGTGTGGGGGGATCTTTGTGAGAATCACCCAACTGTGCAAGTGTTTAAGAATAATTTCCTGGTGTGCACTTAAGCTACAGTTTATTAGCTTATCTTTCCGTAAAGCTTTGAAACACCTGACCCCATAAGTCTACGGAGTTCTTAATAAAGCCTATGCTGGTTGTTAAGCCTTAATTATACTTTCTGCAGCCAGTCCGCTGGTATTTAAGTGACATAAATTTTCTTCGTCAGACAGTGAGTGCCAGGGTCTATCCAGACATCTGCCGACCTGCATGTTTCTTCTGACTTAACGGACTCATCTGCTGAGACATTACATTAAAATATAGCAACTCTGCCATCATGTCTCCATCTGTCCATGTCCGAGTATAATCAGGACTTAAACCAGCTAGCCACCCAGTTACACTGAAAGTGGCCAGAGACTGGTTCAGACTGAGCCAGTGCAATGCCACAGTGGCCTCCAGTCTACCTCAAATCAATTCCCATTTAAAGATGAGCTTCTCTCTGGAAATATTGTCATAGCAGACTTAACTTGTAACAAAAATGCTGGTGTTTCTTTTGGAAAATCTTACTATGTTAGTTAGCCCTGACCCTGAAAGGATGCTTGAATTCAACATTCTGACAAGTTTATTGCAATCAATTTCTGTCATGTTGTTGCAGTGTAGGTACATTTAGCCTAATTTCTCAACTTGCACAGTCAAACGATCTTTTCTTTAGCATAGCCAAGTAATTTTTCTAGCTAAGTCTAAAAAAAAAAAGAAAAAGAAAAAAACCCCTTGTGATCGTCCAATATTGTGTGACTCCAAAGAAGATACCTGCAGGCTAGACAAAAGTGGCAGTAGTAGCACTTGACGTAGAGCTCCACCTTTGGCCTTCAAGCAACTTTCATTGGTTGACACCACACATCACTATGCTGATTTTGGATAAGCTAATTTCTAGGTCCAATGCTAAGCTAAGCTAAGCTAAGCAGCCACTAGTCCCAGATCTACATATTTTTTCAGATATGTGGGATGTCCACATTAACAACAACAACAACAAAAAAACAAAAAACGTAGCAGTACATGTGTGCTTCAACATTTTTTTGACTCATTCTTACTGTAAAAATATTTAGTATAATTTCAAGTGTAACGTTTAAAGGTCAAAATAAACTATGCATTTCTGCACCAGCAGCCCCACGTTGTTCACAATGTGAATGCAGAACTAGAAGTCTTTCTACAGCTGTTTCATAACATCTCTCTAATCTTTAATATTTTGCCTTTAAATTGTTAATAAATATCCAAAAACATGTTAAAATATAAAAAAGGCAGATTAAGTCATGTAACTTCATCTCTCAGCTGGAAAGTTTTGATCGAAACCTCTGAGGGCTGCAGCGAGTACTCTGAGAAAATGGACAATTCGCAGAAAATTGTTCAGCCCAGGTTGGACAAGGAAATGAAAAAATATATACAAACATACATAAAACACACAGAGGGTGGAGCTGCCTTCATGTCTGACCTCTGACTCTTTTCCAATACAAAGCCACCAGTTTACTTTATAAAATGTATCACATGATCACCATCATCCATTTGAGACTGTTTCCTGTGTTAAAAATACAATGTGCTGATAAATCGCCCGACTCTGGTCATATATACTTTCAAATATATCCAAGTAACAGGTCAGCAGTGAAAGGCAGCCCCACCCCTCACATAAAAACACACACTTGTTAGAGTTAATTCCACAGAATAGTTAGAAACCATAACTAAGTTAAGAGTCGTCCCTTCACTGAGATAACGCAGAATACTCACTGGTGAACTCTGAGTTTGTGTTTCACTGTCAAACAGATTTCAGTGTAGTAAATCCTTTTCCCCCCAAAAGCAGCTTCTTTTTTATACCTTCAATTGCACCAAACTATATGTGTGTGTGCATGTGTGCGTAATAATAGTGTAAGAAATCTGCAAACGTAACAAAGTTTAGTAGCACGTCAAACAGAAGAATGAGTAAAAAAACAAAAACCCTAAAACAAGAATTCAACATTCCCACACACGCTTGTCATCCTGGACATGACTGCACAGGAAGCTAATGCATTTATGTTTCAGAATAAAACAAATGAATGTTATAAATATAGAAACCATTTAAGATTGGTTGAGCACGAGAATAAAAATAGATAATTAACTGCCCTCCACGTAAACACGTTAATAAACTATGTGACTAAAAGTATTTGGATGCTTCAGTTAGAGGGCTTATTCATTCCCAATAGAGCCCCACCATCAAAACGTACAAATATCCCTGTGGATAAACTTTCTGGTTGAACACCAGCGTAGATTGAAGAAGCCTAAGTACTTATGGCCACAAAGCATACCATGGTAAACAGTAGTTGCATAAACAAAATTTAAAGCTTGACATGTTTTGCACCACAAGGCTTCACCAGTGTGGACGGAAAACAAACAGAGAAAACACACAGAACCTAACGAATTCAGTATCAGTGCATCCCGAATAATTAAAGCTCGACTGTACATGAAAACTCAAATAGTCTCTCTATCGTGCTGCAGTGTATGATTAAGAAACACTGAGATGAACCAGGAAGCTGAACTGACCTATTTTAGAAACTTCCTGTGGAGGCTGATGAAAGCTTGAGTGGTAAAACAATCACCAGCATAAATACTGGTTGAATAAAGCAGTAAAGCACTGGGATTTGACTGATATCTGACTGTTAGTGGACATCAGCTGGTCACAGTAGCTGAAACGTCACAGGCATTTTAATTAAAGAGTAACTCAAAGGACGGTTTTCCTCTTCTTACACTCACGGGATTAAAGAACGGCTCCATACCCATATTTGGAGGAAGTTTCGGACAGGTGAGGTTACACGCTCTCTGTACAAATGATACGTTTCGCACATACACAAATGCACAGAGTGACCAGGGGCAGCCAACGAGAAGAAAGCTGTCTTAAAGTGGGAGGAGCTTTATTTAATATAAATAAGGCTTATTTTTCATTTTAAATCATGCAAAGCTGGTCGTGTAGTTTCACCTGCTCACTGGGGTCATGTGATTGTTGGGATTTTGTCTGTATTACTGGAGGGTCTTTACGTTACAAGCCCCTTGAGCTGACTGTTGCTGTGATTTGGCGCTACGCAAATAAAACTGAATTGAACCGAAGAGTAATTTCCATGAATAAAATTCTGGAGGTTTAACTAAATTTTAAGCATCGTGCCATAAAGAGAGATGTCTCACAAGTATGACGCCAAGCTCAGTTTCATAACTCAGCTATATGAAATCTATTGTTAAAGGCAGAGCTGATGGTGATCAGTATTTGAACTGAACATGAAAGACAGGCATCGACTCACCCTCACAACACGAGGAATCACAAGGTCAAGTTCTTCGCCTGTCAGGATTTAAACCCTGGTCAGGTGACTTGTACCCGTTTTTGAGTTACTCTTTAAAGAACATTGAAGCGACTGGGCATCTCGTTTTCCCCCCTCCCACAGCTTTGGACGCACTTGATGTGCATGTTGCATTTACGTCTCTTTAGCAGCGCCTGTCGTTGGGTTTAGTGGACATTATATTTAGACCTTTTTAATTCAGCCTGTTTAGTGTGAAACTGTCTAAAAGCCACACCAGTCAAATCCCAGAGTCCACACAGGAGTAGCTCTTTCCTATAACTGCTGGTAATAAAACTGCACATCAGGACACATCGGGGGGCGGTCAGTGCTCTTTCCTTGTGCCAGGAAAGATGAGAAATAGGTTTTCATGAACATTGTGTTTAGGTCCTGGAGGAGAGTCATACTTGGTGCATTATTCATTCTTCATTCATTCATTCACACCTCGGCCTTCATCCCTTTTACTCTCACCCCCTCAGTTCCAGAGATAAGACATCATAAATATGCAAAAAATTCATTCACGCGCTCACACAAGCACACAAAAACCTCCCTCGCCTTCCCTTTTTCTTCTCTCTCCTCTCCGTCCCCTCTTGTGCCCACGAGTCAGACGTCGTAGTCAGGCAGGGCGGAGTAGGTGATGCCTCCGACTGACGGAGGGCTGGAGTGGAGCGGGAGAAGCCAGCAAAAGACCGACCCTGCAAAGACGGAAAGAGAGATGAAACAGTGCTTTATGTATTTGGAGCGCCGGCGAGACGTAGGTGTCAAAAGATCAGCGCACCTCTCCCAAAGACCTCCCGCAACAGGGCCAGCTTCGGCTTGCGGGTGTGTGAAGGGTGGTGAGGCAGCTGTGAGGAGGGGGTGGAGGATGAAGAGGACGAAGAAGCCCTGTCTTTAATCATCAGCCTGTTTCTCATCTGCTCGATGGGAGTCTCGTCTGTGATTATGGAGACCAGCTGAGAGAAGACAAATCACAAACGAGGGCACGTGATTTTTTTCCTTTTGTTTCTTTAAGGAGCTTCAAGGTTACTGGCAGAAAACAGACAGTCGTCTTCTTAATTTCACATGTTTGACCTGCGCTACCCACCGGTCAAACATGCGATATAGTAACATTTCTTTAACACAGTTTAGGGTTTTTAAATGACAGCAGTGTTTTACTCTACTAATCCAAAGATCTACATAATAGGAATGCAATCTGTATGTGTAGGGCTTTTATTGTGAAAGACAAAGACAGGAAGAAGCTGTGTACTGCATGAGGGACGACTTAAAACATGCCTGCATCACCTATCTCTCTTTCAACACCCTCCAGTGACACAACATAAACATCAAATCAATGACTCATGTTTGATATCTGCAAGGCTTGATTCTGATGTGATTTCTCAGCAGGAGCAAGCTTTGGATTTGAAAAATAATTTAAGTCAGCTATTTAAAGTTAATTCATCCCATCATTTAGTCAGTGCTGAGCACATTTGGTAGTGTGTTTTTGAGTGGGTCTGTGAAATGTGATGGGTTTTTGGGAGAACGGATGAGTGACTGGGCTCATAATTTTGAAATCAATGACCTGACTGTTGAACACCACAGCCCCGTGTTTCATCTGGGAAGAATGTGATTGCTAACTGCTTCATTTTTCAGCATAGCAATAATCACAAATACACTGCCAATGCAGTAAAATGCAGCAAATGCACTTGGATAGAAAAACACACAATAGAACGCAATCACTCTGGGATTGGCCTCCCTAAATCTTAGATCTCAACATTATTCAAGTAGTGTGAGATCACCTTGATAGAGAGGACAACAAAATGCAGCCAACTTGCAAAGAAGAGCTATGAATGTCCTCATATTTGGACATACTAAGTACTGACATTCAAGTTTTTTAGAGTTAGATTTGCCTATGATTTTACCATCACAAATCCATTGAAAAGCTGTGAAGAAACACAAAAAAAAAATTCTATAAACAAACATAAAAAGATACATTGAAGTTTCAACTGCTTTAACTGAATAAATATGGGAGAAGGTACTTTTAATCCCATGTAATCTGTGCTATCTCTAGCTACTCATGTCTGTGCTTGTCCTGCTAGAATTGTTAGAACGTGCAGTGGTCAATATTGTTAATCACACTATTTTCTATCCTATATAGCTAATATACTCAAATTAGTTGATGTAAATGGGAGTCTCCTTCACACAAAAAGGTTAATTATGGTTCCACATGGGATAAAGTGGCAGGAGTGAGCAGCAGTACAACTGAGCAGTAGCAGATTTAAAGTGGCAGTTGGCACAGTATTGCACGGAGTAAGGGTTTTTATTTTTATTTAAATACTAATAACAATGAAGTGACCAGTGCAGAGTGTTGAGAAACTGTAGGACAGATTCTGAGTGCATCCTGTGGAGTGTGTGTGTTTAAGTGTTGTGGTTGAGGTGTCGAATGGCTTGATGGTAAAAGCTGTTTTTGAGTCTTGTAGTCCGTATAAGACAGATGTCCTGAGTGGAAGGAAGCCTCATGCCTGCGATGTGCCTTCGCCACCCTCTGTAGTGATTTCCGGCTGCTGGCAGAGGAGCTTCCATACCAAACTGTAATGCAGCTCGTCAGCAAGCTCTCAACATACAGACCTGGATGACCTCTGATTTCCTACTTTTAAATTCAGATAAAATTGAGGTCATTGTACTTAGGACTAAAAATCTTAGAAATATG